TGCAGCTTGAAAAAAAATTGAAATGTTTGATAAGTGAAAAAAAAAATCTAAATCCGTATTGTAGCCAGAGTAGCAGCCCTCTCTAAAAATTATTACATAAATTTAAATTATATCAATATAATTGTGTTATTTAAATTATCTAAATGGTTTTCTGCATAAGCACCATTGAGGAAAGAGGCATGGGAAGGCACAGAAATAAGCAGGATCCCCTGGGAGAGCGGGGCATTCTGGGAAGAAGAGGAAGGCAGCTATTGAGGACTTGGGTCTCTAAAACCAGTGTTGGACTCTATACAGGACATTATTGGGACACTTCGCAATACTGAAATATAAACACTAGCTTATATAAAAGCATGATACCAATGATAAATTTACTGACATTGATAAACTTTCTAATAACTTCTTTATAATAGTGGCCCAGGTAAGTGGGGAAAGACTACCTGGCCCCTGAAGCTAGATATACTTCAGAGTGTGATTATTTGAAAACAGATAACAGGACCTATAAAGCACATAAAAACAGTAAAAATAGGGAGGTCAAAAGATTTCAATTTTTTTACAGTTAGCATTTCTTTGTGTTAATTATGTGACAACCAGAGGGATAAATTACTTCCATGTCAAATGGTAGCTTGTGATGTTTGAAGGGCTCCCTTTCATTCTTCTGAAGATGAGCTTTTGGTTTAACCCTGAATTCTTTAAAAAAAAAGAAAGAAAATTTTTCCTGTTTATTCAGAAGACATAAATGTACAATTAGCTAGTGCCATATCCTCACTTATCATTTATTTCCCTAGATTAGTTTCTTTCCAATATAATCAGAATTTCCAAGCCCCCCCCTAATTTTAAATGTCAAATACTCATTACTTAGTTGAAGTTATTAAATTTTTCAAATTCGTGTTCTCTCCCCTTCCTCCTTGTGTTCATCCTGCATCGTGTCACCGTGCAGGACACTGAAGGCTGTTCCTCCATCCCTGTGAGTAAGGTGGTGGATCAGTGAGAACACCTAGGCAGACTTAACGCCCTCCTTCTCATCTCAGGGCATCTGTAAGGGGCATCCACATGGGCCAGTGTGACAGAGCCGAGGCCCTGAGCCCCAGCTGACCATATGAGATCTGAGAAACAGATGACATTTTTTAAAAATATTTTTTAGTTGTAGATGTACACAGTGCCTTTATTTATTTATTTATTTTTAATGTGGTGCTAAGGATCAAACCCAGTACCTCAGGGCATGTCCCTCTGCACTGGCACCTGACAGTAGCCTGTGAGGTCCATTGTGACCTGGCCCTGCAGCCAGGTAGGTCTCTGCCTGCATGAGATGTGTCCTTTGTGCTCCTGGCCTGGCTCCTGAACAGGTGAGGCAGAATCTTAGGTCTTACCTTCACTTGGACCCTGTGCACCTGGCCGTCAGGGTGCCACCTTCCACATATTCGGCAAGTGCTCTACAACTGAGCTGCAATCCCAGCCCCGCAGATGACATTTGAAGGCCTAGACTGGAACTGCAGCAGCTGAGAAAGTCAGACCGACACAAATTATATTGAGTTGGGCTCTGTCCATAGCAGGGATGTGCTTCCTCCTGTGAGGCTGTGTGGCAGGAACAGCACGAGCATCAATAACTACAGCAGCCCCACCTGTGTAGAGCGTGTCACCCTGGCCCTGTCTCACCAGCCAGCTTCCTCCACTCACCTGATACATGGCCATGCCTGGAGATTGGCCTGCCATGGCCCCTTCTTCTCTCCAAATAGTTCAGTTTTCTTCAAGCTGCATTTGATATCCTGAAAACATAAGGTAGCCCTGTTTTCCAAGCATTCTGCTTCTGATTATCCCCTGTTTTTAAGGCAGAGTATAAGAACATGAGTGAGTCTCATGACCAAGCTTGGTCATTGCAGCCAGCCACACCAGAGTCACTGACCTGCTCATGAAGAACTTCCCAGAGTGAGGAGCGTGTCACATGCTTGAGGGAAGCTCCTTCCTTCCATGGGCTGTTTCCCTCAGAAGAGTGTAGCAGAGATGGGGACAGCCCATCACAAACTACTTGCCTGCTCCCTCCTAGAGCACCAGCCCTCCCAGCCCCTCTTCCTGATTCCCCATGTGAGGGGCCTGCATAAAAACCCAAGGTGATCTTGAAAGGAAACCAAGGAAGGGATCTCTGTTAGAGGCTGGCACCTCTGGTTTGGTTTTCTTTGTGTATTTCTGGCTCTTCCAGTTGGTGACTTTGACATCAGCATCAACTCCCAGCTTGCATGGTATCTTTAGCTAGAGTGATGCCTCTGCTAGAAGTCATTTAGTAGATTCTAAAACCATTATGGAGTGTGTCTGGGTCAGACATTGGCTAGGGGATGTGGAGTGAACAGCAAACAGATGGAACTCCTGCATCGTGGAGTGTGCCGGGTGGGAAAAGTGAGCATCAGAGAACAATTATACCATGGTGGTTGGTGTGACCTCTGAGGAAGGAGTTCTGGGCACTGTGGCAGCCCAGAGGAAGCAAACTCTAAGCCGAGACCTCAAGGGTGGTACATCTAGTCATTCAAAGTAGGTGGGGAGGGGGCAGGAGGCAGGGGCTTTCATCAGAGGGAACACAGCCCAAATCACACTGGACCATCCTGAGGTCAGAACACTGCCTTATTCCCAAGAGGTTTGAGGGTGCCATGCCTGGGAATTCTTAGGTGAGCTTCTGGAGAGCAGAGGCTATATCTTAGTCATTTTAGAAATGTCCATAACATGGCCTTTGATGGGCACTTAATAAATACGTATTTATTAAAAGGAGATATTGGTCATAGGTGTTGGCAGTACTTGCTCTTAGACTGTTTTTATATTAAAGTGGGATGTATTGCTTATAAGAAGGAACCAGAAGTGCCCTCACCCACTCCTAGTCTGGTGGCTGCCTTCTAAGGGCCTCTGGCCCAGTCATACTGTCCTGCTTCCTGTGCCTGTCCCTCTACATTGTTTGCTTTACCCAGTCAGTTGGAGAACCTACGCAGTGGAAGACAGAAGTAATGTACCAGGAATGTTCTGTGTGGGCTCCTACAGAGAAGAGGGGTCCTTGCAGCTGTTGCAGCTATTTTCAGTAACTAACAAACCTCAGTTCTCTAGACTCCTTGGGACACCCTCATGTACAGGTGAGGTTTCCAGGTCCCTGTGGATTGACCCTTTAAATATGTATACTTCCTTAAGTCATTCCCAATTTAATATTTTTATTTTAAAGTGTATTGGCCATTTTCCCGTGTTTTTAAAGAAGAGTTTTCATTTTTTTCTTTGGAACAGAGGGGTGATATTTGAAAGCTATAATACTGAGGTGCTTCTCAAGGGTGTGTGTGTAACTTGCATCTGTAACTAATGACTCCAGGCACCTGAAGACACACAAATAAAAATTTTATAGTCTTCCTGTTGGCTACTTTGTAATTAGGGTATTGGTTGAAACTTGTAACTGTTGTCACATACCTGCCTTTATGACCTCTTGTGTCTTTCTAATCTGTTAGAAAATAGAAAAATCGGAAACTGTGAAGTTGGAAATAAACTGTAAAATTGAAAACCACATAATCACGTTTTATTTGCTCATTCATGTATTTATTTAGACATTTGTTCCTTCACCAAATGTGTGTTCAGCCAAGCGTTGTGTGATGCACTAGGGTGGCAAAGATTAAACAAAACATGTTCCTTGCCCTTCAAGAGCCTTCTAGAAGGGAAGGGTGTAGAGGACTATGGTGGCAAATGGGGCAGGGGAGCACACAGGAGGACACCTACTCCAGTGGAGTGGTGGAAACCAGAGCTGCCCTCTCCCTGTTCAGAATAAAAGGGAAGGGGACTGAATCCCCAGAAATGGTCCAGAAGTTCTTAACCCACGAGCACAGCAGCTTCTCTGCATGTACCTTGTACTTCCCTGTTGGCTACAGCCATTCCCATGTCTGTGCCGTGTTCTAGACTGAGTCCACTATGAGCTGATCACAAGACAGGCAAGGTCTTCCTGATGTGATACTCGGGGGATCACTTGGATAAGGTACTGACCCCCAGAACTTCCCACTATAAAGGGCACAGTCCCCTTTTGTAGTAAATAATTTAAATGATAATACCTTGATATGTGGGAATGTCTTGATCCCTAAAAGTCTCAGATCTGATATTTTACTGTTCACTGGACAAGCCTTTTGGAGTTAGCTATGGATGTTACAAAATTGTGATTTTTCTATTTCTAATATTTTTTTTCTACTTTTACTGATGGTTGTCTGTAAAGATCTTATTCTTTGTCTTCCTTTGTCTTCCCTCCCATTATGAACTGAGGAGTTTTTATGTATGTAATGTATTACAGTGAGTTACAGCCATTATTCTTTAAACTGTCTCAGTGTGGCCATTTGGGACTCCTTCAGGTTGGTCCCTGGATCCTTGTGAGCACATCCCTGTTTTTTGGTACAGGGTGTCCTAGGCTCACCTTGTGCAGGAGCCTCACCCCTGGATCAGCCATTTCTCAAGAAGCCCTTTTGTTGCAGAATAATATTTAGAAATTAATATTTGGGCATCAGGATACTCACTGCTAGGAAGATGCCATTACTTCTAGACTCCTTTCGGTGACTGAAGCTAGGGAATATTTTAAAAGAGAAATGTTTGTATTCATGTTTCTTCTTTTTCAATGTTTCTTCCAAAGTGTTAATCTGATGTAGGCCCTTGGTCAGAAACTCAAGGTAGTAATTTCAGATTTTCTAAAAACCTTTTCTTTTTAAAAACTTGGAGTTCTTTTGTAACTATTATTCTTATCTCTGGAGAGAGAAGGGCCTAGAACATACATCCCTTGTTACTTAGGAAAGAAACTGTTCTCATAAAAATTAAATAAGTTGCCCAAGATAATGACACTATGGTTTAATTTTGTGTACTTTTAAGCATTTTTGTGGCCCTTTTGTAATGGGAAGGGATCGCTGCAACCTTTTTGCTTTTTAGTGCACTTGGTTTGTATCTAAAACAAGATATCAAAAAATCCATGTTTAATGTCGCCAATGTTTATAATTTGCTCTGATTGCTTTCAGGTGCAGCTAAATCAAGTCCAGCATCTAAACCGGGATCCACACCTTCTCGCCCCTCCTCTGCCAAAAGGGCTTCCTCCAGTGGCTCAGCATCCAAATCTGATAAAGATTTAGAAACACAGGTCATACAGCTTAATGAGCAGGTAACTCCTATCTCTGGATCCAGTGACATGTGTAAGGGGCAGGGAGACAGACCCCGACTGGCCTTAGGCAAGGAAGGGATGGTGAGGCAGAATCAGTGGTGTCAAGCAAGAATAAAAGGAATTGCTTAGGAAGGGAAAATTAGTAGCTTATGATGAATAACAGATGTTAGTCATAAATTTCAAAGCTTTACATTAAGAGAGGGCAGATGACTCAGCCTTGCTCCTCCTCCCCTATACCTCAATGGCCATCCCGAGCTCCAGGCTGAGTAATCCTAGTATAGACATGGCCTACCCTGCCCACTTATGGCCAATCTAGACAGTGTTAAAGGCTGCTCCAGTGTGTGGTTGTCTCCCTCGCACCACCTCCCTCGCCTGTCCATCCATCCTTCCTTCTTTTCTTTCAGCAATTATTCATTGAACCTTTTTCTATGTGACAGATACTGTACTTAGTGCTAGTAATTTAATGGTAGCAAGATTAGGTTCATTTTCTTTTCTCAGAACATACAGCAGTTGCACACAGTAGGTTATTACTTAAGCAAAATAAAAAAACTCCAAACTTGGGGATGGGGTGCAGCTCAGCTGTAGAGCACCTGCCTGGCATGCCTGAGGCCCTGGGATTCACCTCCAGCACCTGAAAAAAACACGTCTTTCCACAGTGGCAGGTGTTGGATGCCCTAGAAACACTGAACTCAAAACTGGGGGAATCTGAAAGGCTATAGCTGTGTTATAAGTATAACTTTTCTTCTTAGCCTACAGCTCTTCACAAATTAAATAAATCTACTTCTGCTGACTTTGAAATTTCCGGTATAAAAACTTAAGTATGTAGCCAGGCATGGTGGCGCACACCTGTAATCCCAACGGCTTGGGAGGCTGAGGCAGGAGGATTGTGAGTTCAAAGCCGGCCTCACTGGTGAGGCTCTGAGCAATTCAATGAGACCCTGTCTCTAAATAAAATACAAAAACAGGGCTGGGGATGTGGATCAGTGGTCGAGTGCCTTTGTTCAATCTCCAGTAACAAAAAAAATTAACAAAAACCACTTAAGAATGCTTTTTAACTAGCACTAACCAACTTTGCCTTAGATTATAAGTAGTTTAAAGGTAATAAAACAACAGGGAGTGAAGGACTCCCTGCAGAAGCCAGGGACCTTGGCAGCTTTCTTCCCACCCCTTCACCATGGCAAGAGGAACCTTGACTCCAGGTCCTCAGGCGGTTCCCAGCCGTGTCCCAAGCCAGTTTCCAGTGATTAATCTTTTTCTTGATGAGCCAGCAAGAGTCTGGAAACTGTTTTTGAGGTAATTGTATATTTGCAATCAAGATTTTAGTTTAAAAAGCAGGCAGTTGCTTAACTAGAGTGCTTCTGTACAAGTCCAATCACTTCAAGGAAAAACTCTAAGTCATCTGGGAGGTAGGACTTTGACCTAAAAACTGTGGAATGTTCTAGACATTTGCTTATTCTCAGTTTGTGCCTCGGGACAGTTTCCAGTAGTAACTTCTTCAGGTAAAAAGACATTAAGGTCAGCAGTGATGAGCTCCAGGCCACACACAAGCAACTCAGCCTGAACCTCGAGAGAATTGGGCTTGGGTACTTTGCATTTATTACTCTTTTCTCCTAAGGAACACAGATTTTTTTGCTTTGCCATCTTGTGTTCTTTGTGACTCCTCTTCTCCCTGACTTTTCCTCCCACCACATCCAGGCCTCCAACCCCCAGAGCAAATTCTGACCACGTGGATGCCTCAGGGTCCTTCCTTTCCTCCCTGTCCCTCACAGCCTTGACCAGCCAAACCACTTCTTCTCCTTGGATCTGACACTAGGCTCCTAATAGCTCTCAAATCACACAAAGAGACTCTCATTCCTAGACCCCCATTCCCAGATCCCCAAACTACCTCAGCTAAACTGTCCTGCCATTCAAAATGCCACTCCAGAGAGGCCAGAGGGAGGAAAGAGAGAACCGTACACCAGCCTTCCTTCCCCTTGTCATAGCTCTTAACTTCCTCCTAAGAAGCCTCGCTCCCACTTCTTGCCCCCTATTGCCTTCATGATTAGGAGGACCAGGCCTGGCCCCCCTGTCCCTCAGAGGTAAGGTAGGACACACCCTAAATTGGGAGTCCTTCCAGAGGTTTACCGAGCACTTATTTCACCAGTGATCTGATTGCTCCCTCCTTTGGGTGTCCGTGAAGCCTACAGGAACCCCCTCCCCACAAGCCTGATGGCAGCCCCACAGGCAGACAGGGTTGGAACTGAGAGCACCTGGGACAAGGAGAGACTGAGTTGGAAATGCCTGGGCAAAAGGGTGAATTACAACAGTAATAGAGAAAGTGACAAGTGTCGTAAACTAAGAATTTTCATGTACTTGGCCTCATGCCTTTATTCAGGCAATATCCCATGATAAACTATAAAAGTAACACAGTGCTAGACAGCTCCAGTGATAGAAATGAATCAAAAGATGTCAGAGAGGAAAAGCCATAAATAAAATAATTAGGAACTCTTTCTGGACAGTGGGTGAGCCAACAGGAAGTAGGTTGGAATCAGGGACTGCTGGCAGGAGAGGGTGGGCATTGAGTAGCCCAGGCAGAGACCGTGGCTGTCACATGGACTGCAAGGCGTGGGAGGACCTGTAATCTGTGGACACACTAAGGGGAGTTGGGAAAATTGTGAAAAGAAAACTTCCCCTCCATGGCCCTCGACCTCCTCCATAACTCAGGCATCCCATGTCATATGGCATCCCGTGTCACATGGCATCCCATGTCATATGGCATCCCACCACGTGGGGATCAGACTGGTTTTGGTCTCTGTGAGCAGGCCTGTGAAAATGGAATTTCAGTTGCCAATTGCTCTTTCATCATATAACCCAGCTGCTGTGAGATTTTACTAAGGAATGTATATAGCCAAGTACCGCTCACCTAGTACCCATGGAGTGCCACAGAGCCCGACTCAGGCTAAGTATTTCTGTAGAAGCCACAGCTATTTTCTTACAGTGCAAACCACACCATGCTCAGGATGTAGACAGACTTAGTTTTCATGGGTTGACTGTGTTCTTGTCTGAAATGGAGCTAGTGAGTGGGGGTACCCCTGAATTACCACAGGTCCATCTGTGGCACCAGCCCAGAGCTGAGATGCATTCTATGGCTGAGCCCAGAGAAGGGGTTGGTTTGTTTAAAACAGGAAAGTATTGCTAGAACAAACTTTTTTTCTAAAATTTAGTCTGGTTACCTTCAGTTTTTGCAAATGTCCCAAATATACTATTAGCAGAAATGAGAGTTAAAAGTCAGTGAATGGAACCTTCACAGCTTTATCAGTAGGTACAGAGCAGCCTCCGTGAGGTTAACGTTCAGGGGCCATATTCCTAAGACTCCTAGGTGGATCTGAGTTTACATAAATATAGATGAACAAAGGATAAATATATATATATGTGTGTGTGTGTGTGTGTGTGTATGTGTGTGTGTGTGTGTGTGTATGTATAACATATATGGGGATTATAAGAGACCAGGAACAGAGTGACAGTTTGAGCCTGTAAATAGCTGCTGCACCTGGAGGAGGGTGGAGGCCTGAGATTTGAAACTTGATCTTTTCCTAACCCCTTTGATATTTCTTCACCCCGAGGTGCCTGCATTGTTGAGCCAAGGTCCTCCCCATTGTTGGCCATTATATAATGTCCATAGCACTGGAGGGTCCTTGTACCAGTGTCAAAGGGAATAAAGAGGAAGTGAGAGCTAGTTAGGTGAGGGAATGGTGCTTCTGTCCCTTGCCACTTTCAGGGATTCACCCAAAGCCAGAACCAGAGAAGACAGATCCACACAGCCCGGCTGAGACTCGTCCAGTTTTCCTTGGGCACCAAGACCCACTTTCTCAGAGTATTTATCCAGTTTGGCTCAATTTCATTTTGAAGGGATGAAAATTTAGGGGTGGATCTAAGGAAGGGTCCTCAAATAATCTAACCATACTCAACAACTCTCTTGTCTCTCCGTTCCTCCATTCTCCCATTCTCTATCCCTTCATGGGGGGAGTGTTTTTGTCTGTCTGGGCTGCTACAACCAAATACCATAAACTGTGCATGACTTGTATAAACAACAAATTTATTTCTTACGATTCTGTCAGTTGGGAAGTCCAAGATGAAGGTGTCAGGAGATGCACTGTGGGGTGAGGGCCCATTCCTCATAGATGGCACCTTCTCGTTGTACCTTCACATGCTAGAAGGATTAATGCTCTCCTTTGGACCTCTTTCAATAGGGCACTAATCCCTTTGTGAAGGCTCCATCCTTATAACCTTGTCACCTTCCAGAAGCCTCACCTCCTAATACCTTCACACTGGGCATTGGGATGTCAACATGTGAATTTGGAGGGAGACACAAACTTGCAGATCAGAGCAGCATGCTAGGGGAAAGACGCCATCCAGCCCATGTTAGCAGGAGAGAAAAGGTTCCCACAGCCTAGCTGAAACCGCAGGCAGAGGATCACTCTGACCCTGGTTAATAAACACTAAGTTGATGGAAGGGAATGAGCAGTGTGCTTCTGAGATTGGACATTTTGGCCCAGGCTTGGGCTCAGGTGACAGCCCTATTGCTCTACTCTCAGACTTGCACATTGGTTATTTCTGTCTCTTTACATGTTTTGGGTCCCCATATTCAGGCATAGTTGTCACTTATTATTGTATATTTTTGGGTTCTCCATCCTCACTCTTGCAGGTACATTCATTAAAACTTGCCCTTGAAGGTGTGGAAAAGGAAAGAGATTTCTACTTTGGGAAGTTGAGAGAGATTGAGCTACTCTGCCAAGAGCATGGGCAGGAAAATGATGACCTCGTGCAGCGACTAATGGAAGTACTCTATGCTTCAGAAGAACACGTAAGTGCCAGGAGCTCTCAGCCCCTGCATCTGAAATGACTCTCCTGGTCAAACTGCAATGGATCCACCTGCCTTAGAGTGCTTCCCTAAGACCTCAATGAGAATTATAGCTCAATTAATGCACTTGATCTTCCCAGAAGAATATGCATCATGATCCACTGACCCATGCCTGTGGAATATGTGTCCATAAGTTAATCTGAGAAGAGATGAGTGCATAGTGAGGCCTAGGAGTGGGGAGGCAGCTGAGAAAAGCAGCCATATCCCAAGAGATAGTGTGAGAACCTGAGCAGTAAGAATTTGTAGAAGGGCTCCTATTTCCTCATGAAAGATCACAGTATGGTTAAAGGAAAATATAATGTAGGTCCCATAAAGCCTATGGGTTTTTTTCATAGCTAGTTGCCTTGGTTACTCATCATCAGGGTAGAGCAAAACTGCAGAATGGCCCTTTGTTGAAAAGACTTCTAGATGGCCTCCTTTGCAGGGAAGGACCTGCCACCAGGGTTGCTGTTCATGAGCAGATGTGCTGAGGGAGACCCACAGTGTGGTTCTGCCAGGGGGACAAAAAGCAGGAGCAGGGAGAACGGTGATGTCACAAAGCCAGGAGGGGAGGGGGTGGGACAAGTGGCAGAGACTGGGGAGAGTCCCCCTAGTCGCCTGTGCCTGGAGGAAGAGGCCCAGCACCCAGGGGCAGAAGTGAGAGCCCAGTGGAGCTTGACTGCCACCGAGCTGAGCTGTGGAGGGCCAGGAGGATTGGGCTCCGAGCATCTGAGGCCGGGTGGAAGCTGGTGCAAGTGTTCTGGTTCTGACTTGCAGGCCTGTAGATGTGCAAAGAGCACTGTGGTGGGGTCACAGTGTGTGAGCATTACCATGAGACATAACAGCCACCAGCAGGCTTACTTTGTCTTATTTCAGCTGAATGCCCAGCAAATATTTACTCCCTTTATGACCTAAAATCCTAGCAATGAAACTTTCCTGACCTGGAAAAACTGTGCTCAGATTTGGGGGTTCTCCACTATTGTTTTCATTTCCCCTGATATTTTGTTTTAAACTTCTTTCTTGGTGGCCAGTAGCTTAGAATGCAGATTTTGAAGCCCTGGGAATCTGCCTAGTTGGGCCCCCAGAGGACATGATGGTTGAGGACATGTGGTTCTGAGTGTTTTCATATCTGATGGAAGTAGCGAGAGGCTGGTCGTCTGGCCTGCTGGCTAGAGGAGAACTCGCACATGGGCCTGGGTCTCTCCAGCAGGAGAAAGAACATGATTCTAAGCCAGATCTTGTCCCAGGAGGGAGGAGTCCTTGCACAGGAGCATTGACACATGAGCTCCAGATGAAGAGCTGCATTCCTAGCTAAGGAGATGGAGGGCAGCCTCCCACAAGAGTCCTTGCCTCCTGGGTGTGATTTCAGGGAGTGCTGCTCAGATGACCACCCTCTGGTTGGTTCTGCCATTTCCATCACCCACACCCTCACCCCACACACTCCCTGGCTGCCTGCTTGCAGTGTGTGGACGGTCAGGATGCAGACACCTGGGAGAGCAGTGTTTTAAAGCCTCATCAATCATTAAGACTGAGTCTGTCAGGTCCTTTTCTCAAGCACCTGGGATGGGGCTGGATGGAAGAGGGCCCAGGGCTTTATATCTGTTAGTTTATTAGCTCCTTTAGTTCTCTTGATAACTTATTACGTAGACATTGTCATCATTCCATTTCATAGATGAGGGGAAACTAAGACAGTAGAGGTCTTTCCCAAGTTCATGAGCAGGTAGTCGGAATATTGAGTTCTTATTCTCCCTTCTCCAAGCCTGAACCATGTTTTTTGGCTGTCTTGGGTGGGTTACTTTTTGTTTTGGTTTGCTTTTGGTGCTGGGGATTCAGCCCAGGGGGCACATGCATGCTAACTAAGCACTTGCTCTACCACTGAGCTACCCCTTCACCCCTTTTAAGTGGGATTGTGACAGTAGCAATAGTGAAGAGTTAGTGCATATTTAGCATGTGCTAAATATTATGTTCATATTCTGTATACATTTTTCACCCTAACCATATCCCTATGCAGCAAGTACTGTTACTTGCATTTCACAGATGAAATTATTTGCTTAGCAACTCCAGTTAGTAGCACAAGATTTGAACCCAGGTTTATGTACTTAAGAGCCCCAAATCTTTAGGACTGTTACCTCCCTCTCAGCATATTGGATGCCATGGGGCAGGGAGAAGTCAAAGTAGTGCCACTTGGGGAAACCTCAAAATAGCCTGTCTACTTAAATCTTCAGTCAAGCACGCTCTGTGTGTGTAGGAGGAAGTAGTCAGACACCTCCCTGGATTTCTCCAGATAACTCCCTAGTTTCATTTTTGTTAAATGAGACTCCAAAAGTCTTATCTCTGCCTCCTTCTCTGGGCATACATCCATTTAAGTCCGTGGAGAACTTCTGTTTTCTTCTGACTAATGGGTTACTTTTCTCAAACCACCTTTGTGTCATCTCTGGCACTCTGCTGCTATCTTCAAATAGAAATGTGGTGAGGAAGGGAGAGAAGAAAGACATTGGCATCACTACTTAAGTGTATGCTAAGAACTATCCAAAATCCAGGAAGAGATTTACTTAGAGTAACCAGGCAATTTAAATCTGTAAGAGAATATAGACTTGAACTACGTGTATGGGTTACCAAAGCAAAATCTTTATGTACAGTTGCTGGCTTAATTTTTCTGGTTCCAGTATATATTTCATTGCAACTTTGTGTCTGGAAAACCTATAGAAACAGGTCAGGCTACACTGAGATTTCTGTGGAAAATAAGGGTTTTGATTTGCAATATGCTAGGTATCCATGTTTAGACTGTGGCAAGACCAAGGTTTGATTTGGTTTGGTTTTCTCTTTCCACATTTTTTATTGGTACATTGTATTTGTGCATAATAAAGGATTTGTTAATTTGTTCATACATGCACACAATGTAACAAAATAATTTGGCTAATATCACTTCTCACTGCTTACCCCCTCCCTTCCCCTCCTCCCACCTCTTCATCCCTTTCTTCTACCCATCTCCTTTTGATTTTCATAAGATCCCCGCAACCTCCCCTGTCTTTTCCTTTTTCCTCTCTAGCTTCCACATATGAGAGAAAACATAGGACCCTTAATCTTCTGAATCTGGCTTATTTTGCTTAATATGATGGTCTCTAGTTTCATCCATTTTTCTACAAATGCTATAGTTTCATTTTTCTTTTATGGCTGAACAAAACTCTGTTGTGTGTATACACCACATTCTTTTCCTTATCCATTCACTCATGAATGCACACCTAGGCTGGTGCTATAGTTTGACTATTATGGATTGTGCTGCTGTGACCGTGGGTGTGCATGTATCACTATATAGTATGAGGACTTCAGTTCTTCAGGATGAAGAATGAGGAGGAGATGCTAAATACTGAGGAGGGAAACCAAGGTTTTTTAAATTTTGGTTTCTGAATAGGAAGGGAAGACTGCTGTGCCTGGACTGTGTGCTGAGCACTTTCTGTAGACTCTGCCAACTGTGAGCACAGACATGCACACGTGGTCTGCTTATAGAGGTATACATAAGAACCTCGGGAGCCATAGGTGGACTCTCCTTCCTGCATCCCCTGCCTGAGGCTCAAGGAACTGTCCAATACACCTCAAAACCTTCAAGGTTTGCCTTCCTCCCTGAGGCTGGTGAGTCCTGCCTCTGGGACAGCCTCCCAGAAGCACCACAAGTCTCTGCACTGGGGCATGAGCCTTAAGAAAGCTTTGACCCCTGGCCACTGCCCGTGTGGGTCATTGTCTGCAAAGACATTACTTTTGAACAAGTGGCTGTGATGCCACTGCTGCCAACTCTCTGAATTGTCCTTTTGCCCCACTGTCTTGCTCCTGATACTGTGTCCTGTTTTTAAACTATTTCCATACCTGAGTGGTGAATAGGTCACACTCACATGCAAGTCCGATATACATGATATCTGGGAGAAAATGTCAGTACTTTGTCAGAAAATGTCAGTACTGAGATGATGGATTATACAAATCTGAAATGACAGAGGCTTCTGGTTGGCTGCCTTTTCCTCCTGAAGGTAAGGGAGGTGCTGAAGAATTGAAGGCTAGACAGTTGGGTATGCTCTCCAATTTCAGGTAGGTGTATTTGCTGGAAGGGGAATCTCTTCCACTAAGTGATGACTGGCTTCTGATTCTTATAGTCAAGCAATCCCAGAATATAATGTTTGGAAGGTAGAAAAATCTAGCTAGAAGTTTTGAGCAGGGGAGTCAACAGGTAATTCATTTCCCAGGTGTAGAAACCCTATGGAAGTTTTCAGAGCAGATTGCCAGCCAGTTGTCCAGTACCTCTCTGTCACATTGTCATTATCTTTTCCCTCTGTATTTAACTTGGGCCCACAGGTATGTGAGCTGAATCATTGGCTATCTGCTCCCTTATTGATTTTGACAGCCAAGTTTCAATAGCTTATAAATAGCTGCTTATCTCCTGAGGTACTGTCATGGAAGCCACTTTAAAAATGACCTAAAGACTTTCTTTCTCCTCAGCAGTGTTTTGATACAGGCAGTGTTTCTGTCACTACAGAGTCTGTGCATTCCACTGGATAAAGCAATGGCTGTGAAGGAAAAACACACAACCCCTCCCACAGAAGAGCCCACAGTCCCTGGAAGGAAGACAGGGACACAACTAACTGGAATCTGTGCCTGATTATAATAAATGTGATAACAAAGACATAAGTCAAGTTGTGGGGAGTACACAGAAACAGCCTAGAGGGCCCAGCAAAGATGTCACAGTGAAAATGGCTTTTGTTGGATGTTCAAGGATGGCTAGGTATATCAAGTTAATAAAGCTAAGGTAGGGTGTATTTCAGGCAGAGGGAACTTGGATTAAAACAGGGAGGAAAGAAGAGCCAACCAGGGCTGTCGTAAGTAGTGAGTGGGAGATGAGGCCGAGCACCACCCCCTACATTTGGAAGCAGGAGCTTCTGGGTGAGCCTCCTCCCTCCTCTGCCCCCATTCTCTTCCCACAGTGGCCAAGACCCTTCTTCAGTACTTTCTTCCAACTTCTCTAACCCTTACAATAAGAATAAAAAAAAATTCACTTCACTCACAGTTCACTTAGAGAGATGTAATGGATTGAAAGGAAATAGCAGAATTGAGCAGGTGTCACTTCAGTTCATTGGCTCCATATTTGACACAGGTTTTACCTGAGCATCTACTTAACATGTGGATTTAAAGTCTTCATTTTTATATGGATCAAAGAAAAAGGTCTTTTGTTTTTCCTCCTGGGAACCTATGAAAGCGCACAAAAGGCTGGGCAAGCTCAGATGTGATATGTAGTATTTCAGAATTATAGATGTATTCTGCCAAACTTTCCAGTTTCCTTAACTTGCACCCCAAGCATTAGCAACCCATTGATAACTTGGGAAGATTTGTTCTTTATTGCCTGATAAGCATGATCTGGGGTCCATGGTTCCTACAGATATTTGATATCACAAGCAGTTTCCTGTGGCTAGGGCTTGAGCCTGGTGCTCTAGGGAGCTGCCCTTGCCATCTGGGAACCACAGAACCATAGACAAGGGCAATGGACCCACCCCCCTTCTTTAGCATGTTTGGGAAGAATGCCTGCAGAGGGGCCTCATGGGTGGGTTCTTAGTCCTGTAGCTTGTTAACAGATTTAACAATTCCTTGAATCCAGGTCTTCCAATTGCAGTTCTTAGTTAATTCCATTATCCCACAGTTAACTCCCAACTGTGACGAGCTTTTCTCTAAAACGTAAAACAGATCCTCATTTCTGAGATCTTCCCCTCATCAATGTAGAATGCACAAAAGCAATTATGTAAAAAAAGCATGCTTTAGACCAGCTGAAGTTAGAGCGATATAGTATGAAAGACACCACACTAGATTCAAGAGTTAGGAAGAATGAAACGACATCCCTCACCCAGGGGAGTCTCTGAGCCAGAGTGGAAAGGAAGACGGCCATCCTGTAGAAGCACACACAGGGCTGAATCCCACATGCCCTCTAACAGAAGCAGAAACAAGGTTTCAAAAGCTTGGAGAGAGGAGCTGTTACTGTGGCGTGGTGGCAGGGAGAGAGGTTTCAGGGAGGAGCAGCATTTTCAGAAAGTGGAGGAGCCGGGGGCAGAATAGCCACTGGGAGTTCCCAGGCACCATGTCCATAAACAACCCACCAGCATGTCTCCTTCATGAGGAGAGTACCTGCTCTAAGACCAGTGCCTGTTTTCTATTTTGTGCCACCCCACCATAAAATAACCTCCTATTCCTCATGAGAGGACCACCTTCACCTGTGCCAAGCAGTGGGCAAAGCCAGCAGCAGAGGATACTGCCAGGAGTATAGCCACAGCATACCCAGGGGCCCCTGGGATCGTCTGACACTACAGATTCAGGACTCTGCTCTCCAAGATCAGAGAGCATCTGCAGTTAGGGAATCCAAGTGTGAGGATCAGAAAAACAGAAGTGGTCAGAGAGGAGGATATTGGGCCTTACCCTTGGTGGCACAATTTATGGGGTACCCAGGTATGGTTAGGGTTAGGGGAGAATTCACCTTTACCAAATAATGTGCCCATTGTCACAGAGTTAAAGAGACATTACTAAATGTAATCCCAGGTTTTTAATACAATGATGTCACTTTCAACTGTTGGTTGTCACAGAAAGGGTTTTTTTTTTCCTTAATTATTTGTGCTTAATATATTCCAAAGAGTTGTCCCACAAAAGAAATCATAATCACAGCTCATATTTACTATCTACTAAATACTCCTGCGTTGGGTTCGATTAATCCATTGATTCACTGATCAGTGAAACACTGAAAACTCTGCTACGTGAGTACCCCTATCCCTGTCTCAGACAAGAAACTGAGGCACAGAGCAGTTGCAATATATTTACAAAGTCTCACAGCTGGTAAATAGCTCCAGAGTCTCATGCCTTTACATTATACAGCCTTTCAGAAAAGACTCAGCATATGATCTTGGCTGATAGTCTGGTAGTCTTGGTCATCTATACTTGAATCCTCTGAAACCTTCCTCTTGCCACAACACATATTGCCTTCTGTGCTGACTGAGAGGGGACATAGTCGAATGAGCCCCTACTCCTGACCTCAGAATCTCAGGATGCAGTGGACGAGGCTGAAAAATTCAAGACAAGATTACAAGTCGGTTTCATAGCACAGGAAGAGCAGAGTGCTGCAGGAGAAGGGAGAGAGATCATTCTGGCTCAGGGTACTGGAGAGATGACAACACTCTATTTGAATTGGTTCTCAACAGTTTTGTCCTGAGCTACAGGGAATATGGGTCAGATAGGAAGGGGGTGGGTGGGTTTGATGGTTCAGGAGTCTGTGTGCCAGGTGTGAGAGGACCTGAGCACATCTCTGTGTGCTGGCACATGTGCCACACTGCACCATAAAACCGTGTGCTGTTATTGAGGGGGCAGTTAGCTGCTGTTGGTTAGCCTTACTCCTTCAGCTTGGATAATAAAGAGCTAGTTAATTCTTAATGAGGTCAAAAATTGAAAGAATTTACATCTGTGGCTTAGTTGGTAACCATGATACTCTTCACCGGGTTAGACAAATGAATAAATAGATATTGGAAACCAAGTAGAGAAACACAGTCAGGGAATAGAAAGTAAGCAAAGACCTCAACCACCCTGAACAGATATCCCAAAGTCCTTGAGCCAAAGCTCCTAAGCTCTCTGCTAAGAGGGGTCTATTTGCCAGGGGCAGCCCATGAAACATGGCTGCTACCATTTCCTTCCCCTCAGAAACTCAAACAGGTTACTTTTTCTGGTATCTCAGCCCACATCAGATTAGTAACCTATTGTAACAAAAAGGTCTGGCTTCAGGCAGACAAGAAGAAGGAAAGCAGGGAAGGAAACCGGAAGTGGGTCAGAAGCACCACATCCTGGACCATTAGTGTAGGGGCAACCGTCCTACACAGGCCTAGGATGCTGTTTTATGTTCATTGTGGTCATCATGATGCTGTAGAGTCATTGTGTTTAGTTGACTCTCTTACAAAAGGTAGGAAAGTGGGGCTGGGATTGTAGCTCAGTGGTAGAGCACCTGCCTAGCACCTGTGAGGCACTGGGTTCGATCCTCAGAACCACATAAAAATAAAGATATTGTATTCATCTACAACTAAAAAACTAGGAAAATATGTGATGTGTTCTCTGAAGTTTTCCTTCTAAAACAGTTGGAAGAAAATTGGGGGGCTCGAAGCCTAACGATTGTGCTTTCTAGAATGACCATTCTTTGATGGCCCTGCATGCATGTTGACCACTGGGATCTGGGAAACCTGGAGGGTTGTATCCAAGCCTAGTGTTCTCTGCAGCCCGGAGATGACACACTGCGCAGTGACCATGGGCTGGGATCCCTCAGGGCCTCAGACCATAAATTATCTCAGCTGAAACTTCTCCCTGCCTCACAGGAGGGCCACACAGAAGAGCCGGAAGCCGAGGAGCAAGCCCATGACCAGCAGCCCCAGCAGCAGGAAGAGTACTGACCCGTCTCAGCAGCTCTTGACACTTCCATTGTGCGTGGGAACTTTTCTTCTGGAGAATTGGAACACGTGCAGCCTCAAGCTCAACAGAAACCAGTTGTTCCCAGTCTGCCGTTACCATCAATGCACTGTTGCGTATGCCAGCCACTGCGCTTGGTTCCCATTTCCTTTGCCAAGATGCATTAGCTGACGGTCATTCTGGCCGCCTACCTGAGAGATCATAGGGTCACATACCTTCAACTTCACCATTTGGCTGCTTGAGATTGGTTCTGCTCTTTTCCTCGTTTCTTTCCAGAACAACTTTCCCTACCCCAAAACCACTTCCACCACCACCACCCCTTTTTATCCTGGTGTGAAACAATGGTAATTTGATATATGGTATTTATATTGGCATTTCTCAACCCAGTGTCACTAGATGTCACACGCATTTGTGGTGCTTTGATGTTTGCAAGTCTAACTTCTGAACATAAATTTGGTCAAAGAATTGGAACAAAGGGAAACAGATACTTGATATGAAAGCCATAATGACAGTGACTTGTGTCATGAGGGGAAACATAGGGTCAGTTTCTCCCTCTTGTCACAACACTAAAGGGAAAAAAAATGGATTCAAAACTAGGACTTCAGGGCCCAGCAGTGTTCATAGAGCAGCATGTTAGACAACCATACAGTATGTTGTTAGTTTTGAAAGACATTTACTCAAGGAAAACACCATCTCAACTTTGCCCTCTCTCCGCGTGCCCCTCCCCTCCCATCCTCCTCCCCTGGTTCCCATGTTATTTTCTTTCTCAGGGTCCTCTTTGGTGGGCAGCCACTCTCCCAAGATGTTGTCATCAGTAATCTGCAGTCCACAGGGGGTCTTAGTAGGTGCAGGTCCTCCTGGCTGGTCCCTCTTCCTCCTCGTGTGGCTTTCAACCCAAATCCTGTCATCCACACTAAGGGATCCCTACTAAAGGATAACTTCAAGTGTGCAGCCCAAGCTCCAGGGTTCTGCATCATATTGCACACTGGCTGGAAGGCTGGAAGTGAAGACCTAATTAATAGGAGCATAATTCCAAGGGAGAATCCTGATTCTGCAGTCTGGTGTTAACACTGGAATAACAGCACAGAAAAACCTATGACTCTCAATATCTTCTGGAATAAGGAATTTCCCCTCTTTAACACAAGGGCCCTCCTTGTCATTGACATTTGCTAAACCATGGCAATTCATAAACAGAGAAACATTAATGAATTAAAAGCATTCCTTATTTTTTTAACTAATATTTGCACATTTTCTTAGTCTCTTTCCAAATCTTTGCCTCCCTCCTCCCCCCCACACACCTTTTGACAGATGGTATCCCTTCCTGGATCATTCAGTTTCACTTAATTTCTAAATTTAGGTTGACTTTCACTTGTTATTTGACTTAGCAGGTGCAACAACAACAAAATGTGCCCACCCCACTTTCCGCTTAACTGAAAAGCTTAAAATAAATTTCTGAATTGTGTATCATCAAGCTTTGAAATTTCTTTATTAAGTGATGAAATACCAATTCTAAATTCTGGCATTGAAGCTTGGCACCAAAAGAAGTCTTTCCAAAATAAATCTTTTGCAGCAAAGTGGTATTTATTGAGTTCTATGTGGAAAAGATGGCTTGTATTTTTGAGATTATTACAACACACTGTGCAGAATTGGACAGATGTTTTGTGGTGTTTGGTTTCCCTTTCTTCTCTCTCCTGCTCACTCTGCACACAGCGGCAGCTCATTTCTCTGAGGCTGGAAAGCCTGGCTCCTGGCAGTGACATCCTCCCTCACCTGGTTACAGGTAGTGGCTGTGCTATACACAGTGTCTTGCTTAACAGTGTGTTGCCCTCCTGAACCCATTGTACTCGCTGATGTTTTACAAATAGCTCTTGTAAAGAGGCACAATAAATAACTCCTTGCAGATACTTCGGTGGTTCCTAGGCCGCCATTCATCTTCCCCAACATCTCAGTAGTACCCAGTGCCAGGTGGTTCCTGTCACGTAGATGTACATGAATGTGTACCAGAGTGTCAGGATCCAGTCTTCTCCAGAACCACTTGTTAGTGTGGAAATTATACTTTCCACAAACCTCCCTGATGACTCTTGCTGGAACCACTCTTGTTCTCTCCAGCTCCCCAACTTTCTCGGCTAGAGACATGCTAGCCTGTAAAGAATACCATAATCCATTCTTCCTGATGATTTGGGGCAGATTATTCATTCATTTAGAAAGAGCCATAGATTCTCTGTCCCCATCTTAAACATCTTCTGCTGTGCTTTGCCCGGATGATGTCCCAGATGCTTTGGGGAATCTTTAACAGCTGTGTTTTGGAGTCGGTCTTGGGCCGCAACCCCTGCCTCTGTATGACCACCACTTGTTTCCCACAGATAGTGGGACCCCATCGCTGTTTCATCCTGTCGTTCAGGACATGGGTTCCTCCGTGCCCCACCCCCAGTAGCATGTCATCATTGCTAGGCAGAGAGGTATTCCTTGCTGTGTGCCCTGCTGCTGCTTCTCAGGAAGATGGATTTCTTTCCTCGTCCTCCCCTCTCACCCACTGTTGGCTGGTTATAGCACTTCCCATTGCTGCTGTCAGATTGGAAGTGATTGAAGCAGGGGGCAAAGAGAAAGCTCATGCTCATTCTAAGCAGAAAAGCAGGAAAAAAAAAAAAAAAAGACAAGACAAACACCCTGTTGACCCGAGAGAAGTAAACTCCAGAAGGAAACCAAGAATTCCTCCCTTCCCTGGTGAGTATTTCCATTATTCCGTTAAGGTTTAATATGCATTCAGATTACTTTTACTAAATAGTACACCATAAAGCTTTTGTTATATATTAAATGTAAACTGAAAGGAATGTAAACATATGTATTGTTAATTATAAATATAGATAAGTAATGACATAATAGATGAAAAAGTCTTATTCAGATGTATCACATTCATTTTACATTACCCACCTATTGTCGCATGGTAGAATAGTTTTTTGTCTCTGAATATGTGAATAACTTGACTTGCGTTGATCTTTTTACATATTTAATAAAAAAAAGTATATGTCAAACTCTGCCTGGATTTATAAATTCTTTCCTTTTATACCAAAGATCCCTTTTCAGTGCTTTTCAGAGCATGTGTATATGGGAGATTTGTGTAGATTCAAATATCTACCCACAGTTGTTATGATTTACACAGGAAAAGAAGGTGTCTTTGTATTTATTATGACTAATTATTTCACCAGAATTACAGGTTTATATTTGATATGACATCTGTAATACCTTTTTAAAAACTTTACCAAAAAATATAAACATAAAATGTTCCACTTGCAACCAAACAAAATCCTAGCTCTGGCAGACCCAGCCTCTTCCATCTGGACAAGACTGTCCTGGGCAAATAGACTTAGAGAAGCAGGCAGATGTTTCTAAGTAAAGCTTTGTGGCAAAACTACTTAGTTGAGAAAAACTCTTTGAATGAGTGTGTTTGTTGAATTTAAAGGGTGATGATTTAATTTAAAGGGTGAATGATAATTTAGAGGGTAATCATCAACATAAGCTCTCCATGGAATCCAAAACCTACAGACACAGGAGTGGGTGAAAAAAAAAAAAAAAGGAATGTATTAAAACTGGTCCAGTGAGCCACCTGTGGAGAATGTGGAACAGTTGAGCATCTTTTGAAGACCTTGGAGCCTGCAAGTTACTTGAGGGGCCACCAATACCCTTTTCACCCTGAAAGATATCAGCTTTGCCTAAACTGCTTTCAAGCACCACCTAGAGGCCAGTTGTGTTCCTATACTATCTTTTGGCAACTCCTCCATTCACTTGCCTTTAGGCACTTTTAAGAGTGGGAAAATAATCTGAGACAAACATACTACTCTTCTTTGCCATCCACATCCATTTGTCCCCAGGGTACATTGGTGACAGAAGCCTGCAAGCCTTTGCCTGGGTTATGAAAACCTCATGCTCAAAGCACACGTGTTTTTCATTTACTTCATCAACGCTGGTACTTTAAACACTGGATCTTAGACTTTTGTGCACAAATAGTCAAAAATATAGAGAATTGAGCTTATTCAAGAGGTATGTTGGTAGACTCTAGCAAACCTGTCATTGTTGGTTCAAATGTGATAAAATAACATGAGTGTTAGTTTTTCATCACTGTGACCGGAATACCTGATGAGAACAACTTAGAGGAAAGAATCATTTTTGGCTCACTGTTTCAGAGGATTCAGTTCAAGGCAGCTGGGAAACAGAACAAGATAGGGGGTTGGGATAGCTACAGTTCCCCACATCATACCCCCAGTGACTTCCTCCAGCCTTGCCCCACCAGCCTATAGTTTTTACCACGTCCCAATAGTCTTCACAGTATTCATCCATTAAATGGATTAATCCACTGATGCAGTCAGAGCCCTCATGGTCCAATCTTTTCACCTCTGAACAAGGCTGCATTGCTTAACACTTAAGTTTTGATGGGTCGTTCTCGAACCAAACCATAACAACATGCTTGTTCTATTTGACTAAATCTGAGATCATCTCTAAAATGCTACTGATACTATGGGAAAGTTTCTAAGTCCAGAGACAAAATAAACAATTGTGGAATCCCACTGTTTGAATTATAAAATGCCAATTGGTTTTCTAAACACATACAACTTAGTGTGTTTCTTCCTTCTGACTGTGAGAACACAATTACTGTGATCATGAAGGCTGCTACCACTAGTAAACATTACTGACCCATTTATTTTCTCAGCACTAAGGGAATTCTGCCCAACAGCACAAGTGTTGGATCAGAGTATCTCCTTGGATGTCTGACAACCTGTTTTCCTGAACTGTGAACTCATAAAGGATGTTCTTAAAAGAACTTTGACTTGATTTGATAAAAAGAAGCAAAGCCTAAAGAGAAAATTCACTGATTCCTGGAGGACCCTCATGTGGCACCAGGACTTGGGGTCACAAGACTGCCCAAGGCCAGACCTCTGGGCTGTCTCTCAGACCCCATGTCTGTATAGGTGGATGTACATAGAAAGTGCACTGTGGAGGCTGAGTTTGCATCTGTGTTGTGTGTAAGGTGTATGAGCAGAATGGAAGGCCCAACTGAAGGTAATTTATTGGATTTTTTTTTCTCTCCAATGAAAGAAAATGTTAAACATTCAGCTTGCCAACTTTTAATTTTTTGAACAGGATTCTTGTAACCCCTTTATCAAAACTGGATATAAATTTAGTGTTTTTAAAGGGTTATGACACATTAATGTTCTTTTAAATTTTTTATTTTCAGTAGTAACTAATCCCAGTACCTCAATGTATTCTTTTCCAGAAAATAAAGTTACATACACACTTCCTTCTGAGCAGCAAATTCCCCTGATCTCTTTACCCTGTGGCATTTCTTTAGGTCTTGAAGGTTATCTGTACAAAATTAAAATTTTTTGAAGCTATGTTTCTCTTAGTCAGTAAAAGGTTTTGGTCAACACTGACAGCTTAAATCAATCTTTAAGATTTAGAAAATAATCAAAAGTTCCCATAAATATGTTCAGAATTTTATTCTGACCCAAATTCATGGCTTACTAGGATGCTCTCTTCCAATCTGATATGGATGACTACCTACTACAGGAACAGCTTTTTAATAGCTTGAAAGATTTTTCAGAAAAAGACCCCAGAAAATGAGTTTATAACTTAATTCTTACAGGCTGAGTTGTGTCAAGATAAGCGCTGAGGTCTCCTTCTGTGGCAGACATAGAAGTTGTCATCACCTGAGCTTAGAAAGCAAATGTCAAGTGCACACCTGTAATCCCAGCAGTTGGGAGGCTGAAGCAGGGGAATTGCAAGTTTAAAGCCAGCCTCAGCAACAGCAAGGCACGAAGCAACTCAGTGAGACCCTGTCTCTAAATAAAATACAAAATAGAGCTGGGGATGTAGCTCAGTGGTTGAGTGTTCCTGAGTTCAATCCCCAGTACCTACCCCCCCCCAAAAAAAAAAAAAAAGAAATGTAAATTCTTCCTGGGAAATTTTTCAATTTTTCTTGAGACAGTGGTTTTGAAATCTCACAAGATGCTGCCCCATCATACCTAAGAGATCATCACAATATCCACAGTTTTGTTTAGTTTCACTTTTTCTACAAATTTGGATTCCACTAAGTTAGAATTAGAGGCATTCCTTTTAAACCAAAAATTTAACCAACACAGAGTGGATGGCTATGTTTGTCTCAGTCATGGTAAATATAAGTTGTCTTTTTTGAAAAAACAATGATGGAAATCAAGAGGCATGTTATGGCTCCACAGTTTTTACTGAGCAAAAACTAAAGTTGTAGATGACGCCTAGTTAAAGCACATGATTTTGATTTCTAGTAGCCAGTTTACATTCAACTTGAAAACTACCTTGAACTGTAGTACACACAGTGCATAGCAGTATGAGCCTCATCTGGCTGCTAAGAAGAGAATGGTGGTCACAACCTATCATGCTTCTGTTCAACACACTGCTTTCCAGGCTGCTATGAGCGTGTCTTGCATCATTTTCTTGTGTGTGTGTGCTCTATGCTGCATTCCACAAAGCAGGGGGTAAAAAAATGAATCTATGCACAAAACCTCCCCCAAATTAATGGGTGTTCTTGTAGCATTAATCTGATGACAAGGTTTTGGAAACCTAGAATGAGGCTCCTCCACGATTGTACCTATCAAAGTTGGAGCTACGCAATTCTGCACTAGCTGCTCCCCTTCACTGGGAGCCCTGTTACGTAGTTTTCCTTCTGTAAGAAAGAAAGAAGATCTCTATATCCATCAAGTCACTTGTTCCTGTTTCAAAAAATAGCCCAGAGGAGACCCGATCATATTAGTCCCAGACATGGCCCAGTAAGGACAGCCCTTACATAATGAGGTTAGTGTGAGGCAGGAACTACTTGCTCCCTTTGTGGGACAGGCAAGGTGAGAGGCTAGGCCCAAGGGGAGGGGATGAGGCAGAGACTAGAGGGACCATTGCAGGATGACCACACCATCCCCACAAGAGAGAGGATCCAAGCATCTTCCCGTTGTGCAAGAGTCCTTGGTCATTTGGCCTATTGCCATTACTTCTCAGGAGAAGTCATGCCCTGGAGACCAGAGAACAGACTGGCTGCTGCTTCACAGAAAGGTGTTCTTTCATGGTCCCTTCTTCACTGAAAAAGACGTTCAAGTGTTGAACTCAATTGGCTTCCCAAGAAAGAGAAGGGGGACATTACCATATGCAGCCTTCCTTTATAACATTCAGTAAAGCTGCTAATACTACTTAAGAAAGACCCCAACAAAATTTAAGCTAAAAGCCCCAGCGGACGGGAAGAGTGAGTATTTTTTTTTTAATTCTCCAATTTAGCTGTTTCTAAAAGTAGGGCACCAACTCAACGACTCTTTCCCAGACATTATTACTGTATGTATGTATGAGACTATATGACCAAGGTGATTCTACAATATGTATACTCAGAAAAATGAGAAACTATATCCCATCTATGTATGATAAAGTATATAAGTGTATTCTACTGTCATGTATAACTAATTAAAACAATTAAAAAAGAACTTTTTCCTCCTAAAATATATCACTATCCTTAAGTTATCCTAATGGAACTCTACAGAAAGAGACATCCTGGATCCATTAAGTTTAGGTTACCTGCTTTAGTATAAAAAAGTAAACTAAAGCCATTTTTTTAGGCACTTAATTACATGTAAAGGAATCAG